GTCTGCTTTAATGTTTCTTAACTCAATATTTCATTGACCTGCAAATGACAATTTCACACAGTTTGATTAAAAATGCGAAATAATAGAGATGGATATTAAAAATATGCAGAATACCATGCAATATATGTAATGTCATGTGACAACAATGTAGCATATTGTGAAGTGCATACGTTTCTAATTCTAAATGAAAGTTTTCATGACAGATTTATTCAAACATACATTAGATTCAGACAACACTATCTGGTTAAATAAAAAAAATATAATGAGTATGTAATGCAGTCCGTATATTTAGCTACATTTTTTATAGACGTTTCACCAAAACCGTTTCTGCCAATGCCAAAAATGTTCAGTTGTGTCGCTAATTGTTTTACATACTGGGTTTGAAAGAGTATATACTACATAGCATACAGCAAATTGTATACTAGTATCCCGTATTGAATATAGCTAGATGAATTCTTCTGTATTTTGGGGTAAAATCTTGTGATAGATAAACTGATAATTTTTTTCCCCCATTCAGTTATTTTGACTCTTATCTGCTCTGACAGGTGTACGTATATTTAACATTAATAGATTGTTTTGACTGTAAAGTCGTGTGTGTTTACAGGCAGTTCTTATCTACAGGAAAGGTTTGTTTGTGTAGGTATGTGTGTGTGTGTTCCTATTTCTCTGGGCTTTGTGTTCAGTGTGTGTGTGTGTGTGTGTGTGTGTGTGTGTGTGTGTGTGTGTGTGTGTGTGTGTTAGGGGTGGGAATCTCTAGGCACCTCACGATTCGATTATGATTTAGTGGGCTGTGATGATAAAACGATTATCGATGCATCTTTTTTTCTATACAGATTTTATTTTTTCTCACTGTGTGACTATTGAAGCAAAGTATTTGTAATGGTCAATAATGAATTTACTTCCAATATCTTTTATTAATAAAACCAAATGGAAGTGATTTGGCAAGTCATCTGGAAGTTTACATTTACCAGCAAATGTCCCAGCATTGCAAAGAACCAACAGAAAAATAAATGTGTGCCTGTAGCAGCATACTTGTAGTAAATTAATACAGACTTAAGCATGTTCTGAATCACTAACCAAAAATAATAGACACGACTTGCATATAGTGTGGCTATTGTCCAGCTCCTTTTTCCCTTCAACTTCATAGAAGAACGCGGACTTGACAACCCTGCATTCAACACTAACTGCAGGAGGCAGATTTCACTGATCAGGGGTCGAAAGTAAAGAGAGATGACTGACAAGTTCATGCTGGAGGATTTGCTGCTCAACAGATCCTGAGCTCATTGACAAATATCTGATCTTGTAACAGGGCTCCAGACTGCGACCATTTTTTCTGCCTGTGCGACTAAATTTTGTGTGCGGTTGCACTGGCACGACCACCGTATTGTTCAACTCGTAAGCTCTGCCATTTCTGTTGCATATGAGAAACATCAAACGGCAAACGAAACTGAAAGCATAACGAAACCGCGCTACTCGTTTGAACTGTGCAGAGCTTAAAGGGATAGTTCACCCAAAAATGAAAATGTGATGTTTATCTGCTTACCCGCAGGGCATCCAAGATGTAGGTGACTTTGTTTCTTCAGTAGAACACAAATGGAGATGTTTAACTCCAGCCGTTGCAGTCTGTCAGTCGTATAATGCATGGCAATGGTAACAAAATCTATGAGAGTAAAAAAAAAGATGCACAGACAAATCCAAATTAAACCCTGCGGCTCGCGACGACACATTGATGTCCTAAGACCCTAAACGATCGGTTTGTGCGAGAAACCGAACAGTATTTATATCATATTTTACCTCTAATACACCACTATGTCCAAATGCTTTGAGCACACGCACCGGATGTGTACACGCTCTGGCGTTCTGTACGTTCTGTAATTTATTAGTCTTTGTAATTTATTGTAAGCTAGTTTGTCATTGTATCTTACGGTTTTATTGTTGTTGTGCTTTTTAATTAAGAATAACAAAGAATCCATCTTTTTAGTCTTAAAAAGAGAAATATGTATAGATGTATGTAAGCAAATCAGATTGCTTAAAATCAAGAAAATTATCTTTTCTTGTAAAACCTGACAACAAAATCGCGAATTTGAAAGTGAAAGCATCCGAAGACCGGCTTATAACACAGCAAAATCCCGTTCACAAAATTCAAATCACAAATACTACTGCAGAAAAAGAACAGGTTGAATGTTAACCTCTTTCGTTTCCATATTACTATAAACTATGATAAAAGTTCATAAGCATGCATTGATTAATCACATGTTGTAGCAAAAAGAAAATTGCTACCAAATCATGTGCTAGTGCAACCAACTGAGAAAGTTTGTCGCAAAAGAGCGACCAGTGGAAAGAATGAGACTGGAGCCCTGTTGTAAGATGTGCTCCCTTTACAGAATGCAGAATGATCGTGAAAGTGAACTGCAAGCGATCATTCACAAGTGATTTCAATACCCCTCATATTGATAGCGGCTCCCTGATCCAAAAATTATATACAATATTAAGAATGTGTGCGAGAGTGGGCAGGACTGGACACAAAAATTGCAGGAGCGGGATTAAAGGTGCTGTATGTAAGTTTTCGACTCTACTAAAGCTTAAAAATACCATAATATGTTTGCAGATATTTAAGAAACATGCTAAGTTCACATACTTGTTTATTTGAAAAACAATGCTACAGTCAGTTATTCTACTTTGAAAATGTGCGTTCCGGGCCGGAATGGCGGTCTCTGTTTTGGTTTGTGAAACCCACCCACTGCCAGTTTACCCAATTGTATTTCGGCACCCCAGGTTGCCAGTTGGCGGAAAACACAGCGTATTTCATTTCATTCATCGTCAAGTGCGCTCCTTCCTGTTGGTGTCGTCAATCTGGCAACCTGCGTGTCTGTGGAGGAGGGGCCGGGTGAAAAAAAAACCCTCTCCAATATTTTGAATTTGGTCTGCAATACCTAGTTCAACCACTCGGTGTCAATCCTACATACAGCACCTTTAAGAAAACAGTCCCGCACAGGGCTCTAAACCAAAGTGCTTCCATACGCTAGCTTTTAATGCAGAGGGTGCCTGATCATGTGTCTCTTACGTGCACGCCACAGACTGTCCGGGCACTGCACTTCCACGCTTCAGAGTTCCGTCTTTTGCATTCCGTCGATATTATGTTGTCAATTAACGTTTAGAACATCGATTTTTGACATTTGTGAATTGATTCAGAATCGTCCACATTCGCATCGTGATGCATCCAAGAAATCAAATTTTTCCCCCACCCCTAGTGTTGTGTGCGTGTGTGTGTGTGCGTGTTCGGACTGAACTCCGGTTCACTGGATTCGTTTCAGTATGCGGAACATCAGAGGTGAAGTAGTTGATTTTCAGATCGTATTTCATTCCCTCTTTCAGATTGGCTGGATTGGGTGAATTTATTAACGTGGTACAGAGGTCAAATTTTTGTTCATCTGGTGGAAAGATACAGTAACCTGGGCTTGTGCCGTCATGCTCTGCTCAGAAGCCTCGTGGGGAGACGGTCATTGTGTGTGTTTATGCTGCTAAATAAACTGAGAAACTATTTTCAGAGGCTGTTACTTATGAAATGAGCCACAGGAGAGCTCTGAGTTCATGGAAAGTGACTCTCTGGACTGTGTGTGATTGAAGTATCCTGTAGTGGAAATAGTTTTCTCTCTCTCTCTCTCTCTCTCTCTCTCACTCTCTCTCTCACTCTCACTCTCACTCTCACTCTCACTCTCTCACACTCACACTCACCAGTTTATGTTGCTTTTGTCCTGTTTGTGTTTGACTTTTGTAAATATCAATGTGAATATGAACTGAATATACAGCTCCTTTGAAAAGTTTGTTGTCAGTGAGATTTTAAATATTTTTAAAAGAAGTGTCTTCTGCTCAGCAAAGGCTGCATTTATTTGATCAAAAATACAGTGAAAACAGTAATATTGTGAAATATTATTTACAATTTAAAAGAGCTGTTTTCTGTGTGAATATCTGTTCAAATGTAATTGATTTATGTGATAAAATTTTCAGCATCATTACCCCAGTCTTCAGTGTCACATGATCCTTCAGAAATCATTCTAATATGCTGATTTGCTGCTCAAGAAACATTTCTAATTATTATCAATAGTGTTGTCACGGTACCAAAGCAAAACACAAAAACATGCAAATTTAAAAATTTGACTATACTTTCATTTAATCCAAACTGTGTACATATTTAATTTTAAAGGGCTTTTGAAAACCTAGAGTTATTAGGCCAAGAATAACAACTAAGTTAGCTAAAAAAATTAATTAAAAAAAAGCCCATAACTGCTTTTCTGACTGATATGACACAAAGAATGTTAACCATTTGTACATTCTCTAACACGCATATTTTAGATTCACAATTAATTTAAAAGCCTCTGGTGTGTAAAAATAGTAAATATCATCATGTCCTCCTGTTTCTTTTACCCTAATAAAAGTTATAGGAGCATTAAATAGTAGGGCTGTGTATCACCAGCAATGTCACAATACTATACATATCACGATACAGCGGCCACGATACGATACATATCACGATACAGGACTGCACTGAATTTCACCTCAGCAGAATTTAGTAAAACAACTGTTTATTAAACACTGCTTACTATAGTGCAATTTCTAACTATAGGCAGAGCAGGCAGCTGACCTCTGCATTGTGAAGGGCCTCCATAACTGTACCACAGTACAATATAGGTAATGGCACATGCTTCATGTTTACATTGGGCACTCTCCACCAGGTACAATATTCTGATTGTTTGCATCTTGTTTTTAAGCCCATAAATAATAATGTACTTGTTGTAATAAATTTATATTTGTTTTTCTAATATTAAAAAATCATATTTACATGGCTGGTAGGTTATCATTATAATTTAATAATAACTTATTATTATTATTATTATTATTATTAAAACTACTACTTATTTATTAACTATTAACATGGAAGAGATTTGATTATCACATTAACCCCTCTCTCTCTCTATCTGTCTCTGTCTCTCTGGGTTTAGGCTGAGTCTGGTTATGGCTCTGAATCCAGTTTGAGGAGACACGGCTCCATGCTGTCCCTCACATCAGCCACCAGCGGATACTCAGCCACCTCCACCTCCTCCTTTAAGGTGAGAACCAAATTAAATGTCCAGTATTGATCAAATATGGTGACTATGTCATACCTCCCTACTCTGAATTCATACGTTTGTGTTTGTGACCCACAGAAGGGTCACAGTCTGCGAGAGAAGCTGTCAGAGATGGAGACGTTTCGAGACATCCTGTGTAGGCAGGTGGACACACTGCAGAAATACTTTGATGGCTGCGCTGATGCCGTGACCAAAGACGAGCTCCAGAGAGACAAGAGTGAGTAGACTGAGTCTGTTCTGGTGTATGAGGGAGAGATCAGGATATAGAATATGCTGACACCTGTTTAGACAAAGCTGAACCTTATTCAGACAGCAGCGATGTCCAGATTCCTCTGCATGGGTGCCGTCGCTCTCGCTCGCTCTGGATGCATCTGTTGTTACAACACAAGGGTCTGTTGATTCACACAAATATTCAGCTGCCTCTTTTGTTCGTCCTAGTCCTTCCCCTAAATCTCTCAGCGTTGTGTACTACATGCAGTATGTGTCATCTCTCAGAATATGAGTGGGCCGATCTGAGCACCACCAACCACAGGGCCATGAGTTCATACTGGCTGTTTGTGTGTGTTTTCTCTGCTCAGTCGTGGAGGATGATGAAGATGGTTTCCCTACCACTCGCTCCAATGGAGAATTCCTGCATAACAACAACGGCAGCAAGGAGAAATGTAAGTGCCTCTACTGATTTCTGCATGTGGGGAACATCAGCGGGTTTTCACGCTCAATGAATTCTCTCTGATTCAGCTCGAGACGACAGTACTGGGGCGCCACTGACATTATGAGCCGTTTGTCCCTCACTCCTGTTGTAATGAATTGTGTGAAATCTCTAACATAAGGTCAGCATGTCTCCAGTGGAGCTGTGTTGAGATGTTTTCATTGCGTTATGCATTTCTACTTTTTTTTTTTAAAGAGGAAATACTTTATGGCTGAATTGAATGTGGTCATCATACCGTTTCTATTCTTGTATAATATGACAAAGAGCGTCAGGTGTTTTGCACCGTGTCCAAACCAAGCATGACAAGTTTGTTTGTCTTTATTGAGAACAAAATGTTTATGAATTAATAAACTTAATATAAACTTGGACTTAATTAACAAAACATATATATAACTTAACATATATATATCTTATTATAGATATTTCATATATTTTGAAATATATTTTATAAATACAAAAATAAAATATATTTATTTATGATATATAGTTTATTTTTATGTATATTCACACAGACAAACACACACATATATATAATCTTTCAAATTAATTTTATATATTTATGTGTGTATATATATATTTATATATTTTTTTGTATATATACAAATATATATGTATATATTTTTATGATATATAATGCACACACACATATATATATATATATATATATATAAAGTTATATAATACATTTATAATATGTTTTAAAATACATAAATATAAATGTAATATAAAATACTAAAATAGAAAATGTAACTCAGGCAACTGCTGGTTGGAATAAATACTCAGAAATAAATAATAAAAATACTCATGGAAGCGATTTGATTTATCACTTTTTATTGCATTGTGCCTGATTTTGACACTGTGTAACACTGTCTGGCAAATTAATGCCTCTAAGGTGCCTTCAAGGAGTGTGACTGGATTTGTTCTCTCTCCCCATCAGTATTCCAGTGTTTGAGTCATAAAGGCATTAATGGGATAGATTTTAAAGGAGAGGCCATCACGTTCAAGGCAACCACGGCGGGAATCTTGGCTACACTTTCTCACTGCATCGACCTGATGGTGAAGAGAGAGGACAGCTGGCAGAAGAGACTGGATAAGGTACGAAACACGGACGTCTGGAGCTTGTCCTTGAGCTGAGAGATGGTGTTTCTGTATTTCAGTGCTCCGTTGGCAGGCTGCTGTTGTGATTGTGTTTCTGACAGAGTGAAATTTTTCCCTGACTGTGAAAATAAAACACATTAGTGTGAAGCTAAAAAAGCACCCACAGTTAAGTCATGTATGAACAAGATCTGGTGTCAAAATTATGGCACATCAGCCCTGGCAATTCACCAGCTAAAGGAGTTGCAACTTTGGCGGAAGTGTTTTGCATTGATGCTATATGTGAACAAATTTGGTACATTAGCTGGCAGAGCAAAGTAGGGCTTCCATGACTACTTAATTATACTAATCACCTAGAGCAGAAGTCGACTGTTCGGTTTCACATTCTTGTAGTGTGGGATATATTTGGTTTTTTAAAAGTTTTCATACAAAATAATGTCACCCATTGACAGAATGAGTGCAGCTGAAGTCACATGACCCATGACTAGTCGACACAAGCATCAAATGCTTAATAAATACTGTAATACTAAAGCAGTAATGCATAACAAAATTACGAAAATTTACATTAAAATTAAAATGAAAAAATATAAAAAATAAAGGCTGATTCAAAAATAGTAATAAATACTGTAATACTATATAAACCAAAATTAAAATGAAAACCGAACATTTAAAAATAAAACTGGATTAAAAATATTAATAAATATTAAAATACTAAAATATTTATATTATTTATACTAAATACTAAAATAACACCGATACAATCTGATGTAAGAAGTCTTCTATCAGAGTTTGAGCCAATCAGAACATTTTCCATGACAGGATTATTTAGTAAATTTTCATTAATATGCAGCAAACAGCTTTTCAGACGTGCATTTAGCCTGTTTTAACTACTATAGTTATAGCGTCATCGTTTTGGTGATTGTTTATGAATGGAAGCCATACTTTTAAACACGGAAAGCTGTTGTTTCTGTGAATAACTGCTGCGGTATCTTTAGCAGAAAAGTTCATCCAGACGTTTTAATGGGTTTGTGTGTGATAGAGGTGGAGCTGAATCCGTCTGCCAATGTGTCGCAGTCAGCAGCATTCAGCATAATACTGACACATACAATCAGAAGGAGAACACGGGCGTTTTGCTTCTGTCTGAACAATGGAGCGCTTCAGAACAATCCTGTACCGATTCAGTCTCACACCGAGACAAGATCTACTCACGCCAAGACATTAAACATCACAGCAGCAGTGTTTAGTCAGCTAAAGCCGTTCCCCTCTCTTGCTTTCTACAGGAGATGGAGAAGAGGAGGAGGATGGAGGAGGCGTATAAATCAGCCCTGTCCGAGCTGAAGAAGAAGTCTCATTTTGGAGGGCCCGATTACGAGGTGGGTTTTGTTTTGCGCTGATGAATTTTACAAAGTAGGAAGAGCAGTAAACTGTATGGAGATGTTCATCTTGTTCTGTCCATCAGGAGGGTCCAAACAGCCTGATCAATGAAGACGAGTTCTTTGACGCCGTGGAGGCCGCTCTGGACAGACACGACAAAATAGAAGAACAGGTGTTCTAACTTTAATGATAAAAAAGAGGATATAAATATATTGCTTTTGTAAACTGTTGTAAAATAAAATAATATATATATGTGGCCCTGGAGCACAAAAGCAGTCATAAGTAGCACGGATATATTTGTAGCAATAACCAAAAATACATTGTATAGGTCAAAATTATCGATTTTTCTTTTATGCCAAAAATCATTAGGATTTTAAGTAAAGATCATGTGCCATGAAGATATTTAGTAAATTTCCTACTGTAAATATATCAAAACTTAATTTTTGATTCGTAATATGCATTGCTAAGGACTTCATTTAGACAACTTTAAAGGAGATTTTCTCAACATTTTGATTTTTTTTGCACCCTCAGATTACAGATTTTCAAATAGTTGTATCTTGGCCAAATATTGTCCTAGCATAACAAACCATACATCAATGGAAAGTTTATTTATTTATGTATAAATCTCATTTTTGAAAAATTTACACTTATGACTGGTTTTGTGGTCCAGGGTCACATATGTATTTGATATTTATAGGCCTAATTATTTTATTTTACACTGCAAGTTACAAATACTAATATTTGTCTTAATTTCTTCACTTTCAAACGTTCAAATCTTTAAACTTTTATCACAATTGCCAGTTCTACAGGCTTATTTGGGGCATGTTTATAATTCAGAGTTCCACATTATGCACAAAATCTTTTTTCTGGATATTATTTAATTACATTTGATATATAGACTTTGCTCTCAATAATCTTTTTATTGCCTTTCTTTAAACATATTATAATATCAGCAAAATCCAATATCAATTGACCTATAAATGTAATTATATATTATTATGTATATATTGATATATTAGTACTAGTACCAGTTGCAATTCAATATGTATTTATTGAATAAAACATGTCTTGAGTTTAAAACTTGCAGTTACCCTGTTTTGCAGTTCATAATATTTGTGCAGGTATTAAAAAGGTCTTAAAGTCTTAAATTTGATTTTTAAAACTCTGCAAATGGGACACATTTACAGCATGATGTGTCGCTTTGGAAAAATAGCATCTGCTAAATGCATAAATGTAAATGTAATGCAAATGTAAATATTTTCAGCTTTTTAAAAATGTAAAGCAAATACATTTAAAAAAATTTAGTTTATAGTCTATTTATTGTCTCAATATGTCTCCAGTCTTATTGAGCAGGATTCATCAGTGCATTCTATTCTGATTATTCAGTTTCACACATTGTGTTTCAAGTTGTTACTATGTTTTTATCATTAATGTATGTGTGTTTTTATAGTCTCAGTGTGAGAAGAGCAGGATACAGAGGAGCAGTTCAGTGCCTTCAGGAGACGTCTACTCCAGCGTGGGCTCTCACCGATTCGCTGAGAAGGTGAGCTCATTGTTCTCGTCATGGTCGTCTGTAGACCTCTTCTCGTGTCCCTGTGGTGCTCTGTTTTCCCGTCTTGGTCTCTTTTTTGGGTTCCTGATAAAGCTGCATTCTCTCTTCTTCCTCACCTGTGTAGCCCCCCTCTCGTCCTTGCTCTCTCTCATCTTCTGCTGTAGCCTTCACTCCTTCACTCTATGAGCACCGGTTCAGTGCTGAGGTAACAGCGCCCTCTAGCACACTCATCCAACACTCACTACCAGCTGTTACAGCATGAGATTCATAATGATACATCACCAATGCATTCGTAAACATGTAGATATGGCTGCGTTTCAAACCCTAGTGAGCTGCCTACTTAGTCAGCAAGACTTTTTGGCCATCATTAAAACATTTTATTAGAGTGTCCTGCTTTTAAATGCTTTAAAGACCTATATATGTGTGTGTGTGTGTGTGTTTAAAACCCTATTAGTCAGCATTTTAGGTCATCATTTTAGTGTGGGTATGATGCTGTGCTAATGGCCAAACCTGCTGTCAGGCTTGGCAGCGCATTAGGTTTTAAAACACAGCCAGTCATTTTATTGGCAAGTCTGCATGATGGATAACCATGTTCTGTTTAAACAGCACATTAAAACCACATAGTCTGCCTTATCTCTATTTCCTGTGTATCTGAGTCTTTGCTATTTGAAGTTGCAGCAAATAATACTTTTTAATTGCTTTTAATATCATAATTTGCATGTTCAATACCTTCCTGGAATTATTTTACTTTAAGTCACTTTGAAATCCAAATAGAGCTAATTTGTTTAAATTCATGTTCCTTGTCTTATCATTAAAGATTTATCTGTGTTTATTTGTAGTATGTAAATAAAGGGCTAATGAATTGCATTAAATAAACAGTCATTGTTTCAGGCTGCTTTTATATGCAATGCAGCCGTTCTAAATCCAGTAGTTTAGTGCTGGTTAATATAATAAAGTTTAATGAATAATATAAATTGCCTGTTAGCGTTGGGATACGTGGCAATTGTCTGGAGAAACAACTTGACCTCCGAAAAGTGTGTGCTGGTGGCGTTTTAGAGCAGGGAGTAGTTTTCTTTTTGTTTCATTCAGAAATACAGAAGTAACTCAAATTACAGAAGTGAAATGGTTTGTAAAAGCCGTTTCATGTTGGCTATCATATTTAGTCAGTATTGTGTAATGTTCACATTTAGTGTTATTAATCTGGATCAGGGTTCCTCAAATCTTGCTCTGGAGGGCCAATGCGCTGCAGAGTTTATTTCCAACCCTGATCAAAATCAGCTACCTGTGATTTTCGAATGATCCTGAAGACATTGATTAGCATGTTTGATTATGATTAGAGCTAAACTCTGCAGGAAAGTGGATCTCGTGGGCCAGATTTGCGGATCCCTGATCTAGATCCTCTTAAATGAGCGCATGACCTCTGACCTTGTTGTTCTGCTGTGTTTTGGACAGGTGGAGGAGATGGTTCAGAATCACATGACCTACTCCCTGCAGGACGTCGGTGGAGACGCTAACTGGCAGCTGGTGGTGGAAGAGGGAGAGATGAAGGTGAGTTTGGTCTAATGTCTGATTATTTATTTTGATCGAATGCCTGTGTCACTCTCCATCTGTGTGTTTGTCTCTCTCAGGTGTACCGACGGGAGGTGGAGGAGAACGGGATCGTGCTGGACCCTCTGAAGGCCACACACTGTGTCAAAGGGGTCACAGGTCACGAGGTCTGCCACTACTTCTGGGACACGGATGTCCGTAACGATTGGGAGAGTGAGTGTGTATATATATGCACACACACACACACACACACACACACACACAACACGGTATTAGACATTAGCTTAAAGCTGCCATTGAAATCACTTCTGTTGCATTAACATTTTTTCTGAGATGCACTTAATTTGTAAGTTCTTTGCACCAAAAACATGATCAGTACTGAATCAATAAGAACTTGTCTACACTAAACCTTTAATCAGTAGCTCAATAACTATTGATCACTTTTAGAAAATGTAATGATTACAAAAAATAATTATATTCTTATTCATGATAAAGAATAGAATAGAATGGAATAGAATCGAATTTTACTGACATAGTCACCACTGGTAAGCTACTACTAAATATATTGTAGAAACATATATTGTACAGCTGCTTTGCAACGATTTGTATTGTGAAAGCGCTATACAAATAAACTTGAATTGAATTGAACTTTATTGTCCCATTTAGTTCACAACGCATCTCACACAGCACAGTACATAACATAAAATAAATTAAAATATAGCAACACCTCAAAATAATTTGTAATTTTATTACACGCTTTTGTCATTTTTGGTGTTTTATAAATTTTTAGTTTAATATAGTTTTAGTTCAGTTTTAGTTTTTATATATTTCCACTTAGTAATTTAAGTGCTTTAACTTAAACTTATTTCAGTTAGTTGTCATGATAGCATTTTAAATGTTTAAGTTTTTCGTCTACTTTTTAGATTTAATTTCACCAATTTGTTAATTATCAATTGAAAAAATAAATAAATAGTTTGTTAAACCTGGTGTAGAGTACAACTAAATGCCATATCAATATCTTACTGTACTCCAAAATATCATGAAAAATCAGGTTTGTATGATGGCACACATCTTCATATAATCTAATAAAGCTCTTCTACTGTATCATATCATTATTAATGGAGCACGTTCGATGACTAAGCACAGTTTGGCCTGTGTAAGCAGCATATACTCTTACCACGCTTTTACATGCTTTAATACAGTGAATTACCAGAACACTTTCACTGTCCAGATGATTCAGCAGCACCTCCTAATGATCACTGGCCCAGTCGATAGTGATGCATCTTGGGTAGAATTACTCGTCATCGTCTAGTACCTCTGTGTGTACTCTTCTCTTGAGTTTAGCTTTATCAGCTCTCATTTTTGTCTGTCTCCAGCTACTGTTGAAAACTTCAACATCGTGGAAACGCTGTCCGATAACGCCATCATCATCTACCAGACTCATAAGGTGAGAAGAGAGCATGCTTTCTAAGTGAAGCACTTCTTTATAGTGATTTGATTGATTCTGACAGATCATCTTGTGTTTGCGTCCGTGTAGAGAGTGTGGCCAGCGTCCCAGAGAGACGTCTTGTACCTGTCTGCCATTCGTAAGATTATGGCCAATAACGAAAACGATCCAGACACATGGCTCGTCTGTAACTTCTCAGTCGAGCACGAAAATGCCCAGGTGAGTCTGGTCTCCATGGCAACCGCTGAGTCAATCTGTTTGTGTAGTAGCAGAAGCAGTTTAACGAGTTTGGTGCACCGTTTAATGCATTTATGGTGCATTAAACATTTTAAATTGATTCAGATTTTGTGCATCCACTTCATTTAATTCTCCATTTTATATATATACACTACCGGTCAAAAGTTTGGTATCAGAACGATTTTTTATGTTTTTTACAGGAGTCTCTTCTGCTCATCAAGGCTGCATTTATTTGATCAAAAATACAGAAAAAAACTGTAATCTTGCAAAATGTTATTACAATATAAAATAATGGTTTCTATTTTAATATACTTTAAAATCTAATGTATTTCTGTGATGTGCAGCTGTATTTTCAGCATCATTACTCCAGTCTTCAGTGTCACATGATCTTCAGAAATCAGTATAATATGCTGATTTATTATCAGTGCTGGAAACTGTTGTGCTGCTTAATATTTTTTTGGAACCTGTGATACTTTTTTTCAGGATTCTTTGATGAATAAAAAGTTTTTAAAAAAAGAGCATTTATTTAACATATAAATCTTTTCTAACAATATACACTACTGTTCAAAAGTTTGTGATCAGTACATATTTATTCTTTCTTTTTTTGAAAAGGTTTTTTAAACTTTTATTCAGCAAGGATGTGTTAAATTGTTAAGAAGTGATACCAAAGATGTATATTGTTAGAAAAGATTTATATATTTTTAAAAATGCTGTTCTTTTTAACTTTTTATTCATCTAAGAATCCTGAAAAAAAAGTATCACAGCTTCCAAAAAAATATTTGGCAGCACAACTGTTGCCAAACATTGATAATTCTAATAATAAATCAGCATATTAGAATGATTTCTTAAAGATCATGTGACACTTTATACTGCAGTAATGATGATGGAAATTCAGCTTTGCATCACAGAAATAAATTATGTTTTAAAGGATATTAAAATAAAAAACATTATTTTATATTGTAATAACATTTTGCAAGATTACTGTTTTTTTTCTGTATTTTTGATCAAATAAATGCAGCCTTGATGAGCAGAAGAGACTTCTTTAAAAAACATTACTGATCCCAAACTTTTGACCGGTAGTGTATATATATATATATATATATATTATGGAGACATTCTATGATACAGTAAGCAAGCAGGATTATTTTCTCTAGATGAAAAAATTACAAAGTTGTATTATTTTCATTTATGATGTTTAATTGTTTTTGTCCTTGTGTAGCCAAACAACAGATGCGTTCGTGCTAAAATCAACGTTGCGATGATCTGCCAGACGCTGGTCAGTCCACCTGAGGGAGACAAAGAGATCAGCAGAGACAACATCCTGTGCAAAATCACATACGTGGCCAATGGTTAGAGAAACCTCTCACCTACAATCTTCATAGAATAGCTACTAAATCACATAAGATACAAATATATTAACATTTAATATATGAATATATAAATAAGTTTGTTTGTTGTGGCTGCAGTGAATCCCGGCGGCTGGGCTCCTGCGTCTGTCCTGAGGGCCGTCGCGAAAAGAGAATATCCCAAATTCCTCAAGCGCTTCACTTCCTACGTCCAGGAGAAAACAGCGGGAAAGCCCATCCTCTTCTGAGCACCAGGTGCACCAAACTGCATCTGATGACCTTCAGAGTTTATATGACAGCAGTACTGAAAAAGATGTTAGCCAGAGTCAGACTTTTACATTTCATTAAATATCCTTATTATTTTTGGTTAGATTTTTATTTTATTTATTACATTGTTGTTGTAATGTATTTTACGATTTATGTTCTTATATATTTAATAATAATATATTATTATTATTACTGTTGTTATTGTTATGTATTTTAATAGTTATGTTATTATATATTTAATAATTTTGTGTTTTAATACTTATTATATATTTAATAATTTTATTAATATTACTATTACGGTTTTATTTATTTTTATTTTAGTATTATGTGTAGCTAATCAGCTCATGGGGAAATATGAATAATTAACCATAACTAGTTATGTTTATCGTAAGCACGGATAAAAATAGTCTATAATACAACAGATCAGATTAAATACAACACAGCAATAATATACACACTGGCCTGAAGAAAATGGGTGTTCATTCAAAGAAGGTTTTCCTATGAATTAATTAGTAGAACAGTCCATTTCTCCTGTGCATTTGTACCCCTTGTTTCTGGAGAAAGCAGAATGAGAGCCGGCTCGCATTCCACAAGGTTGTAAATGTATCGGGTTACCATGAAACCAGGGTCTTGTTCGGCGTCCTGGGGTGTTACAAAGTATTTGTGAAATCTAGCTAACAAAATATATATTGTGTGTTGGAGTGGTCCAGACGCTACATATGTATGTTTTAGTATGTTATTATCATGTTATTAAATATATAATAAAATAGTATTAAATAGTATTTTTTTACTATTTATGTATTTAATAATATATATTATTATTTGATATATAATATTATTTTTACTACTATTATTTGTATTAGGTTTTTAATTAGTTGTCATGTTTATTATTATTATTATTATTAATAATTTTGCTATATATGTGACCCTGGAGCACAAAAGCAGTCTTAAGTCACTGGGGTATATTTGTAGCCTGAAGAAAATGGGTGTTCATTCAAAGAAGGTTTTCCTATGAATTAATTAGTAGAACAGTCCATTTCTCCTGTGCATTTGTACCCCTTGTTTCTGGAGAAAGCAGAATGAGAGCCGGCTCGCATTCCACAAGGTTGTAAATGTATCGGGTTACCATGGAACCAGGGTCTTGTTCGGCGTCCTGGGGTGTTACAAAGTATTTGTGAAATCTAGCTAACAAAATATATATTGTGTGTTGGAGTGGTCCAGACGCTACATATGTATGTTTTAGTATGTTATTATCATGTTATTAAATATATAATAAAATAGTATTAAATAGTATTTTTTTACTATTTATGTATTTAATAATATATATTATTATTTGATATATAATATTATTTTTACTACTATTATTTGTATTAGGTTTTTAATTAGTTGTCATGTTTATTATTATTATTATTATTATTAATAATTTTGCTATATATGTGACCCTGCAGCACAAAAGCAGTGTTAAGTCGCTGGGGTATATTTGTAGCAATAGCCAACAATACATTGTATGTGTCAAAATTATAGATTTTTCTTTTATGCCAAAAATCATTAGGATATTAAGTAAAGATCATGTTCCATGAAGATATTTTGTAAATTTCCTACCGTAAATATATCAAAACCTATTTTTTTATTCGTAATATGCATTGCTAAGACCTTAATTTGGACAACTTTAAAGATGATTTTCTCAATATTTAGATTTTTTTGCACCCTCAGATTCCAGATTTTCAAATAGTTGTATCTCGGCCAAATATTGTGCTATCCTAACAAAGCTTTCAGATGATGTATAAATCTCAATTTCGAAAAATGTACCCTTATATAGTTTTGTGGTCCAGGGTCACATATGTTAAATACTTACTGCATTATTATCATAATTCTGAAATTCGTTTTTATTATTTATTGTTCTTGGCAGTTCCCCAGTTCTGCTGTCGGTGTGCATGAGCGCCTCTGGTTCCCGCACACTCCTCTAGCGACACCGAAGACTCATCACGTCTCTTCTCCAGACTCTTCTGAATCCCGCTGCCACAGGGAGCCCGGCGGTAGACGCTTGATGCCGTTCTGTAGCACCACACTAGCTCACACAGGCAGAGGACTAGAGATGCCCAACGTCAAAGTCTGTCCCATGTTTTCTGGCTGAGATCTACATTGATATGAATATATATGTATGTATGTATGTATGTAAGTAAGTGAGATGGGAAGTATATATGTATATATATATATATATATAACGGAGAGTTTTGAAGCTGAACACTCGAGACCGGCTCTGTTTTAGTCCTGTTATTTTCCTGTTTGAACAAACATTTCAGCTTTGCTTTCATAGTCCTCGTATAATCGCTGTTTGGGGGAAATCAAAGGCATGTTTGTGAGTGAACTCTATGAACCTGTCTTTCGTCTCGATGTTGGCCGTCTCTTTTATGAAGCGCAGCATCTGCCGCTGACGAGGAGACGCTTCATTTCTTTGGCGATTTAATTATATCCGTCTCTCAGCAGCTGATATACTGTAGCACAATTCCAGATCGATCGTAACCGGCAGAAATGTTTAATATGTCAGATGAACGTTGCGTACATATTATTTGTATATAATTTCATTATTGCTTCAGATCGTCAGTCGACGCTTTTGCCTGACTAATCCAACTCCATATGCCTTAGTGTGTGTGTGTGTGTGTGACTGAGAGGTGTGTACCGACTCAAACATTTCTAGAAAAGTGCCTCATTATTGATCTTGCCGATTGTTCAGCCCAAACTACAGCCACAAACCAACCTGGCGTCCTTTAGTGTTTATACAAAGATCATTTCACATTGATTTCTTACCTCATGTTAGAATGTGTTGTCTTCTTATTGGAGAAGCCCTGACACCAATCAAATTCTCTGTCCAATAGGGAGATGCGGTTTCAATTTGGGGCGTAGCTCATATGTAGTTGTAGATCAGGTAGAATTAGTTGCTTTTATTTATTGAGCCCGGCGGTAGACGCTTGATGCCGTTCTGTAGCACCACACTAGCTCACACAGGCAGAGGACTAGAGATGCCCAACGTCAAAGTCTGTCCCATGTTTTCTGGCTGAGATCTACATTGATATGAATATATATGTATGTATGTATGTATGTAAGTAAGTGAGATGGGAAGTATATATATATATATATATATATATATAACGGAGAGTTTTGAAGCTGAACACTCGAGACCGGCTCTGTTTTAGTCCTGTTATTTTCCTGTTTGAACAAACATTTCAGCTTTGCTTTCATAGTCCTCGTATAATCGCTGTTTGGGGGAAATCAAAGGCATGTTTGTGAGTGAACTCTATGAACCTGTCTTTCGTCTCGATGTTGGCCGTCTCTTTTATGAAGCGCAGCATCTGCCGCTGACGAGGAGACGCTTCATTTCTTTGGCGATTTAATTATATCCGTCTCTCAGCAGCTGATATACTGTAGCACAATTCCAGATCGATCGTAACCGGCAGAAATGTTTAATATGTCAGATGAACGTTGCGTACATATTATTTGTATATAATTTAATTATTGCTTCAGATCGTCAGTCGACGCTTTTGCCTGACTAATCCAACTCCATATGCCTTAGTGTGTGAGTGTGTGTGTGTGACTGAGAGGTGTGTACCGACTCAAACATTTCTAGAAAAGTGCCTCATTATTGATCTTGCCGATTGTTCAGCCCAAACTACAGCCACAAACCAACCTGGCGTCCTTTAGTGTTTATACAAAGATCATTTCACATTGATTTCTTACCTCATGTTAGAATGTGTTGTCTTCTTATTGGAGAAGCCCTGACACCAATCAAATTCTCTGTCCAATAGGGAGATGCGGTTTCAATTTGGGGCGTAGCTCATATGTAGTTGTAGATCAGGTAGAATTAGTTGCTTTTATTTATTTTTTCTTGATTTAATTTATTCTTCCAAAGTGAACATTTAAATCTCAAGCATTAGTAAACAATCTTAAAAGGCACAAACTGGTCAAATATGAAGTTCTTACTCAGTATTTTTGTATTGTTTTCCAGTAAAAATATCTACAAATTCTTAAATCAAGATACGAGTACTTGAGAAGCAAAATGACCAACTGATTTAAGCATGAATTCACTTCATTTTTATACTTTTAGCAGAAACATGTTTTCAGACATTTTACATCTACAGTAAATAAAATTACTTAAGATATTAAGTCTGAAAAAAAGGATAAAAAGTATTTTATGCTTATAATATGAAAAAAAATCTGTCAGGGTTAAAAAAAAAAAAATTCCCCTTTTAATTAAATTTTTTTTTGTTTTTGTTAAAGCCCACTAACTGATATTTTTTCTTGTTTTAAGCATAATGTCACTTAATTTTGATCTATTTTTCAGAAAAGGTTTGCCATTTTGCATCTACAGTATAAAATAAATTACTTAAGATATTAAGTCTTGTTTTCTGGGTATATATATATATATATATGTGTGTGTGTGTATATATATATATATATATAATACATCTGTCAATGGGTTAAAAAATATTTTTCTCTTTAAAATACATAAATTTTTTTTAGCCCACTGTCAAATATTATTGTTTTAATTCTAATTTAATTTTCGGAAAAAAATGTTGCATTAATTTTGCTTCTGCAGTAAATAAAATGACTTGATCAAAACTAAGTTTATGCTTAAAACAAGAAAATATATCTTTTCAGTTTTCCCTTTGAATTAATTTAATTTTTTTTTCAGACAAAAATACTGAGCAAGAAAATATTTTTTTGCAAAACAAGAGCTTTTACAGTTTTTGCTATACATTTCCATTGGCCAACTGTTCCCATGATAGACTGTTAAAGACGCTGTATGACGAGTCGAGCGGGCGCACAACACGACATCCCAGTATTTACGGTAACGTTTCCACCAGGTGAGATTTATAAAACAACGTAAACATTCCAGACCCGCCGAACCCGAATGTACGAATCCACCGGAATGAAACCATGAAGCTGAATGTGTTACTTTACCAAACGTACACCTGATTTCCCCACCGAGGTGACCGCTTGCTGATTGGAGCGGATTTCGGTGGAAACAGCCAATCAGGAGAGGCGTTCTGCTTGTGTGTGCGGCCGAGACACGCGTCTGTCTAATAGTCTAGTGTGTTATTAGTTGCATTTGCACTGAATGTAATGTCATTGGGTTCAGATGTTTCGTGTACATAATGAAGTGTCACACTAAAGGTGTCAGGATGAACATGTACTGTGAATAGAGGGCGGCACCGCGGCCCTGTGTAGAGAGGAATAAAATGATTGACATCTTTCTGCACCCCTGACTCGTGTGTCCTGCATTTCTTTGTGCAGTTAATGCATACGGTTCTATTCAGGAGTTTAAGAAAACCACAAATAATCATTTTTCACATTCAGCCTCAAGATAGATTGTTTAAAGTGTATATTTTTTATGTATAATACATTTGCTTGTTTGTAATATTTCATTTGTTGTTAAACAGTTACACAGTCTATTATTGAGTACTTTGCCAATAACCAATGAAATGCATTGTGGGCAGAGCGATGTGTATAGCCCTGCCCCATTCTGCGTGCATACTTGTATAAAACTGCAGATTTTAAAGGGGTTATGACATGAAAAATCACATTTTTCTTGATCCTTTGACATACTAAGTCGTTGTACCATTAAAACATTCTGCAAATTTCATAGCATAAAAGTCCTCCTTACTATTAAAAAGCATTTGTGTAATCGAGCTCCAAAAAACAGACCTCTATACCATTAAAGTGTCAGAATATTTCTAAACAGGTTAATGAAATCGTGTGACTTTGGCAGTGTGATAAGCGCTTCAAACCACTGGTTCCAATTCCAATACAATTTGTGAAAAACTAACTTTATACAGTAGAAGTGAACCTTGGATATGTTAAAGCAAACGTGCATTTATTCTTGGTTTTATGTCATGTTTTTACAAAGACTTAAATTATGTTTAAAACAAAAAATACTATGTATAAATAATCTTGGGCTTGATTTGCATTGTCAACTGAAAAATTAGATGCTATTTTTGCCCTTTTATTAATGTGACATGACAAAATAAGGACTACATTTAAAGAGACTACAATTTAACAGGCTGTGCATCGAGTTAAATCAAATTGAATTATGCTTGAAGGCTATTCTTGCTTAAAAATATATATTTTGCACAGAATGCAGCTAATACTCGTGTTTTACATGTTTATTTGTCCAGTTTAATGCATTTAAGAGTTCAACAAAAATACTGAATTTAAAAACGTGCTCATCTGATCAGTGGTTTAGCAGGAAGGAAGCAAGACGAAGCAAGATTAAAAGACAAAGATATGGCTTCATCAGCACTTTTGTCAGAAAGTGAAAGGATTTGCTTTTGTTGAGAAAAGCTGAAGCACTTTAGTCAAGAATTCAGACCCATTTCTTTAGGAACACACATAATACAAATAGTGCAAACATCCACATTCACACTCAGATTCATAAACTCAAATTACTATTATTAAAGTACAGGAGCACCTCGTTTATAAGGTCCGTCAGTGGACTTTGTCACAGTGATTTTGGCGTGATTAACCGAACACATGAATTAAATACATTCATTCATAACCTGAAGATCCAAACTGAAAAATCCCCCATCAAACTCTGATCTGAGATCATGATTTAATCTAGAAACTGTCCGCCAGTGTGCAAAAAAAGACGGTTTTTATGTCCCATTTTCTGGAATTTTCAGCATTTTTACCATCAAGTGATAAAAACGTTGCTGTGCTTTGACTTCAGCTTGTACCAGGTTTTGACAAATCTTTTTTGGATTTTCGTGCAAGACTAAACGGACACAGATTCAGTGAAACGCAGGAGCATCTCGCTCATTTACTCGTGCAGTCGCCTTACAAAACGTCAAGCATTAGTATTTCCCAGCAGCTTGACAGAAGAGAGCTCCTCCAGACATCTGTCACTCCTGCAGCCGTGTCTTCAGATGCCCTGAGAATAAACATGAGAACCACACAGACTCCGTTTCCCAGAGTTCTCTGTCCTTCATGACGCTTCCTTTGGCTGCAGTTCACTCTCTAGTAGATTGGCTTTTGACCTGTTAGAGAGAGTAAAAGCACTTCAGTATCTAAACCATACAATATAATTAAATATTATCATATTGTAATTTATATATATATATATATTTATATTAATACTATAAATTAAATATTTGTAATATTACTAGGCAATTTGGAAAGAAACAATGTCAAATGATGTTAGTATATATATATATTCTATAAACTGAATAATTTTTAATAAGCAATTAAGGGGAAAACAATGTTTACTATATTAGTTCAAATATTAAATATTTATATATAAAATATTTCTAATATTTGTGTTTAAACAGACTGATTGCTAATTAAAAAGAAAACACTTATGGTCATGGATGTATAGAATTAAAAAAAATCTTCAAACATCAATGTAATGTAATCAGGTTGTTATTAATAAATATATTAATACAATAAACTATAAGTATAAAGTTGAATAGCTATATATCATTTTGTATTTAAAAATAAATCTTGTTTCTGATATGAGACTTATTAATTAAAAAGATAACTTTAATGGTCACCAATATATAGTATATAAAAAAAGAAGTAAAAGAAGTTTGTGTTCATAGAAATGAAAGAATGAGAGACCTGAACAAGCTAATTAAGGCCCTCATGATAACTGGAGTTGCAGGCAAGGGATCTGGAGAGAGCTGAGAAGCGCAGTTACAGATGCAGGTGTGTGTTGTACCTGTTGTGAGTCATGTGACTCTTGACGAGGTGTCCGGCGGCGAGAGCGGCCATCAGAGAGAGCTCTCCTGCCAGCACTGTGGCACAGACGATCCGCGCCAGCGTCCGCGAGTTCTCACCGGGACACTGATCACTGGAGCCGTGAACACCCAACATCTGATCAACACAGCACAGCATTTAGCTCATCTACAGCCCTCGTGTTGTTCGAGAGTGTGTGTGTGTGTGTGTGTG